GGGCACTGCCCCACGGCCTCAGCCCCTGCCAAGGGCACAGCAGCAGCTGCAGCTCAGCCAGGACTCAGCCCCACCATGGGGGAACGGGCCTGGCCAAGGCAAAGGAGGCTCCCTGGGTGTCCTGCTCTCCTCTCCAGGAGATCTGAGAGCTCTGTAGCCCCTCCTGCCATCTTGTCTGCCCAGGCCAGCACAAGAGCCCCGGCCTTGGGGCCCTCCAGAGCTGCTCCTGCTCCAGGCCCAGGGCCCATCCCAGAGCTGGGGCAGCCACAAAGCTGTGCCCATTTCTGTTCATTGCTGCGCTGATGGGGATGGATCCTCAGCACCTTGGAGGTTGGTGATGAACTTTACTACTCCAGAGGCCTCTTCTTTCTTGAGCTCTTCAGTATAGAAATTTAGTGACAAAGGCTCATTCATATTTCTTCAAAACACCCAAACAAGACAAGCCCATGGAAATAATTCAAGTCTTGAATTCTTCAGTTGTTAATTCGACAGATTGCAGAAGTGTATTTAAAGTCAACCTACTATATTGAAAACAGTGCAGAGGGAATTGTTTTGTCCTGTTTACTTTTCCTATTTATAGATTGATATCAGCAATTCCCCAGTTGATATGGATCCCTAGCATCTCCTAATCCATTTTTAATAGGTATGAAAATCAAGACCCCTTGTTGCTGACAATCTGAAGAGGGTCCCACGGAGAGCCAGCTGGAGTAATGACACCCAAACCAATATGGCTTGATGTCATCCTCCTTTATTGTCTAATTTTTTCATATTTTATTCCTTCATCGCCTTACAAAATACATAGTAAATTAACATTCATTGGTTAACGTAATATATATAATTATATTACGTTAACCAATGAATATTTATTTGCTATTGTCATGTATTGATTGGCTGTTATTCTACAAGCGTCTGATCAGGTTATAGTACATGACAGTTTTCATATACTACTCAGCGTCCAGCATTGACTATTGTGTTTGTACAAGGCTTATTGTTTTTCCAAGGATGTCCTAAGTACTTTAAATTAACTAAAGTAATTCAGTAATCTGCAGGCCAGGGTTGTCCAGCTCCTGCAAAGGAATAGCATCAAGAATAGCATGTCCTTGTTCCACGAGAAATTCCTCGACACCCTGTGGATCAAAGGATCCTTTGTGATCCTCCAGATCCTCATGGAACCAAGGGTGCATTGAGGCACAGCTGGGCCTTGTTGCAAGCAAAGAAACCTCTGTAAAAAGCAGGGTAACTCACAGAACCAAGGAGTCCATTGTTAGAGGATAAAACCTATGGAACCAAGGGTCCATGGTGACAAAGAGGGGCCTCATGGAAACAAGGGGTCACTGCGACACAGTGGGACTCATGGTACGAATTGTCCATTATGACAATGTGGATTCACGGAGACCGTGGTGACACTAAGGAACCTCATGGATCCACAGGGCCATTGTGGTGCTGAAGAACTTCATGGACCCCAGGGTTTATTGTGACACAGCAGGCCCGCATTGGAAGAGAGGAACCATTGATGACAGTACAGAAACTCATGGAAGCAAGGGACATGGACTCATGGGACCATTGTGACACAGCAGGGCCACATGGAACCAAGGAGACCAGTGACATTTAGGTACCTCATGGAACCAAGGATCCATTGTGACACAGCAGGGCCACATGGAACCAAGGAGACCACGGTGACCCTACGGAAGCTCATGGAACCAAACAGCCATTGTGACACTGCAGAAACAAGGAGACCATGGCTGACACTATGGAAGCTCATGGAACCAAACAGCCATTGTGACACTGCAAGGTGTCGTTGAACCGGGAAGACCATTGTGACCCTAGAAAACTTGATTGGCACTAAGGGTTTATTGTGACACAGCAGGGTCCCATGAAACCAGTTGTCCATTGTGACAATGCAGATCTGATAGGACCATGGTGACATTACGGAAGCTCATGGAACCATGGGTCCATTGTGATAAAGCAAGGCCTCATGGAACCAAGGAGACCATTGTGACATCATGGAATCTCATGGAACAAAGGAACCATTGTTACAGTCTGGAACCAAAGAGACCATTGTGACATCATGGAATCTCATGGAACCAAGTGTCCATTGTTACAGTCCGGAACCAAAGAGACCATTGTGACATCATGGAATCTGATGGAACCAAGGGTCCATTGTTACAGTCCAGAATCACGGAGACCATTGTGACATCGTGGAAACTCGTGGACCCAAGGGTCCATAGTTACAGTTCGTAACCAAGGAGACCATTGTGACATCGTGGAACCTCATGGAACCAAGGGTCCATTGTTACAGTCTGCAACCAAGGAGACCATTGTGACATCGTGGAACCTTGTGGAACCAAGAAGATCATTGTGACATCATGGAACTTTGTGGAAGCAAGTGTCCATTGTTCCAGTCCAGAACCAAAGAGACCATTGTGACATCACGGAACCTCGTGGAACCAAGGGTCTATTGTTACAGTCCAGAACCACAGAGACCACTGTGACATCATGGAATCTCATGGAACCAAGGGTCCATCTTTACAGTCCAGAACCAAGGAGACCATTGTGGCATCATGGAACCTCGTGGAACCAAGGGTCCATTGTTACAGTCCAAAACCATAGAGACCATTGTGACATCATGGAATCTCATGGAACCAAGTGTCCATTGTTAGAGTCTGGAACCAAGGAGACCATTGTGACATCATGGAACCTCATGGAACCATGGGTCCATTGTTCCAGTCCGGAACCAAGGAGACCATTGTGACATCATGGGACCGCGTGGAATCAAGGGTCCATTGTTGCAGTTCAGAACCACAGAGACCATTGTGACATCATGGAACCTCATGGAACCAAGAAGATCATTGTGACATCATGGAACTTTGTGGAACCAAGTGTCCATTGTTCCAGTCAAGAACCAAAGAGACCATTGTGACATCACGGAACCTCGTGGAACCAAGGGTCCATTGTTACAGTCCAAAACCATAGAGACCATTGTGACATCATGGAACCTCATGGAACCAAGGAGACCATTGTGACATCACGGAACCGCGTGGAATCAAGGGTCCATTGTTGCAGTTCAGAACCACAGAGACCATTGTGACATCATGGAACCTCATGGAACCAAGGGTCCATTGTTGCAGTTCAGAACCACAGAGAACATTGTGACATCATGGAACCTCATGGAACCAAGGGTCTCCAGAATCAAGGACACCATTGTGACCGTACAGAACCTCACAGAACCAAGATTCCATTTTTATGCAGTGGGGCCTCATGGAACCAAGGAAACACTGTGACACAGCAGGGCCGCATGGAACCAATGGTCCATAGAGATACTGCGTATCCAAGGAGACCATGGTGATGCTGTGGAACCTCATGGAATCAGGTGGCCATTGTGACACAGCAGAATCTTTTGGAATCAAGGTAACCATGTTATGCTATGGAACCTCATGGAACCAAGGGGCCATTGTGACATTGTGTGGTCTCATTGGAACAAAGGACATGGTTAATGGGACAGAGGCTCCTGGAAACTATGGGACCTTGTGACACTGCAGGGCCTCATGCTTCCTTTGTCCACTGGAGATCTCTGCTCTCTTCTGTGATCAGGGCATACAGAGGTTTAACAAGTAACCCATAGTTATAAATCCACAGTCTGCACCACCCTGTCATGCCTAAAAAGGTTCTCAGTTCTTTCACTGTCTGAGGTCTCGGGGTCTGACATATTGCTTCTTTGCGATCTTGGCCCAAGGTCCTTTGTCCAGCACTCACTTCATAACCCAGGTAAATGACTGTTTGCCTCACCATCTGGGCTTTCTTCTGGGATACTCGATACCCCTGCAGGCCCAAAAAGTTTAGGAGGCTTACCGTCCAATCCACGCATGTTTCCTGGGTCTGGGTGGCTATCAGGAGATCATCCACGTACTGAAGCAACTGTCCTTCTCCTGGTGGAGGTTCCCAAGATTCTAAATCCTTGGCAAGCTGTTCCCCAAATATAGTAGGAGAGTTCTTGTATCCCTGTGGTAATACACACCATGTGAGCTGGTTCCTCCGTCCAGTTTTGGGGTTCTCCCATTCAAATGTGAAAATTTTCTGGCTGGCTTCGTGGAGAGGGAGGCAAAAGAAAGCCTCCTTTAAATCTAAAACGGTAAACCATGTTAGTTCAGGTGTTAAACGAGTTAACAAGGTATAAGGGTTAGCAACTACTGGGTACAAGTCTTCAGTTACCCTGTTAATAGCCCTTAAATCTTGTACTAACCTGTATGACCCATCAGGCTTCTTTACTGGCAAAATGGGGGTATTAAAATCAGATTGACACTCTTTTAACAGTCCTATTTGCCAAAAAATTTCTATAATTGGGCTAATCCTTTCCCTATCTTCTTTCTTCAGGGGGTATTGTTTAACCCTCACTGCCCGTTCCCCCTCCTTAAGCTTAATTTGTATAGGTACTGCATTCTTTGCTCTCCCTGGTATATTAGAAGCCCATACCCCAGGGAATACTTGATCCATTATTTTCCTGAAGTTTTTCTCTTCTTCACTTACACTTTCAAGTTCTTTGGTTATTAACATTAGGCTCAACAACTCCACGTATTGTTGGTCCTTTACCTCCAAGCTAAAGAATAGCTGCGCAGCAAGGGACACGAAAAAGTTCAGTTGATAAGAGTGTGAGAATACGTGTCTTGTAGCATGAAAACTATGACCTTGAGAAACAGATGTCTTCTAACAACCTTGAGAGCCAGACATCTCCTAACAACCTTGAGTATACAGATGTCTCGATAAAAATGAAATATTGCTTGGTATGCAGAAAAGTAATCAAGTATAAAGAAGCAGTAACCGCAAGGCTTATCGCAAAGAGATATATGTGTTAATAGAAAGGTAACCAATCCTGAGCTTCGCTTTTGCAATATGTATGAACTAGTTAGTGCTTGTATAAAGAAACTGTAATCAACTCCAATAAACCGAAAACTTGTTGACCATGACACCATGAGACTTGTTTTCCCACGACGATCTCACCAACATGCATCCAGCTGCTCTAGCAGATCCCTGCCCAAAAGTGCAGATGGAGCATTAGGCATATATAAAAACCGGTGAATTCCCCATTGCTTTCCCAATTTATATTTTAACGGTTTGCAAAAATATGCTCTTTCAGATTGGCCAGTAGCCCCTTTTACCATAACATAATCATTTGTTAAAGGTATTAGGGCCTTATTCAACACTGAAAATGTTGCCCCTGTGTCTACTAAAAATTCCACTTCCTTTTCTTTATTCCCTAGTTTATCTATAACCAGAGGGTGCCCTAGGGTAGGGCCCTCCGGTCCTCCTCAGTCCTCCTTTGCATGAGCAACCACTCTTTCTCCCCCCCGATCACTTTTTCTCTGTTCGTCACCTCTTCTTCGTTCTGGGCACTGGTTCTTCCAGTGTCCAAATTTCCTGCAAAATGCACATTGATCTTTTCCCAGTCGGGGTGGTCCTTGTCTTGGCGGGTCTTGCTCACATTTTTCCTTTCCTTCCTCCCTTGCTACTGCTACTAATTTCTTCATCCCTTGTTTATATCCTTCCTCCCGGTTACTAAAGACTCTCCATGCTTCATCTAATAGAGTCTCCAAGTCTCGGCTATTTGGGCCCCGGATCTTCTGAAGTTTCCACCTGATATCTCCTGTGGATTGTCCTAAAAACAAATTTATTAGTTGTTGTATTCCTTCCTCCGATCCAGGGTCCAGAGTGGTGTATCGCCGCATTGCGTCCCGTAGGTGATCTAAAAAATCAGAGGGTGTTTGAGAGGGACCTTGTTTAACAGCATATAAAGCTGACCAGTTTATGGTCTTAGGAATTACTCGTTCTAGTCCTTTCACTATAAAGTCTTGATATCTCTTAAGCTGTGCTAATTCATCAGGTTCATTGGGATCCCACATCGGGTCCTGAAGAGGAAATACATCTTTAATATCCTCTTGTGTTGATACGCAAGCATCCTCAGCTAAGTCCTTGGATACTTTTAAAACCAACTGCTTCTCTGTTTCTGTTAAAGCATCAAGTAGTAACTGCATGTCTGCCCAATCAGGTAAATGCTGCTTAACCATAAACTTTAACCTTTTGGCAACGCCTATCGGGTCATTTCGATAACCCTTAGCAGTCTTTTCCCAAGCCTCTAAATCCATTGAGAAAAAGGGGACCTTAATTATCCTTGGCTCCCCATCAGAGGCTATAGCTTGCCTTAAGGGTGCTTGTATGACTCCTTTAGTTTGCTTTCTAGTTGTTTGTGGGGGTGGGTTCATTCTGCTTTGCCTTCTGGTCCTTGACGCTATTGGACCTTGTGGGGAAGGCTTGGGACTTGGTTCAGATTCATCCCATTCACTATCACTACTGGGCAATGGTGGATAAAACCTCGAGGGTTCCCCTGATCTAGGAGTTGGTGGGGAAACTCTTGCTTTAATTACTGTTTTTTCCAGGGTAGACGAACCAGAGGATAGGTTAGGGGAGGCTGAAGTTGGTGAGGGTTCTGATTTCACTCGTTCCCCCACCCTCTCTTCTACTCCCCTCCCTTCCTGGTTTCTAGGTGGTGGTAAAAGTGCCTCCGCTGTCCCTTGTTCTAAGATCTCTGTTGCATATGCTTTACTTGGGTGTGAGCATCTTTGATTTATTGAACATGTGCTGCAACACCGTTTGAGCTTTTCCTTGTTAGCCTTATTATCCTTTTCAAGAGCCAGTACTAGTGGATCAGACGGTGGCCTAATCCCACAATCCCTTTGCCACTCAGGGTGATTTCGAAGACTGAAAAACATATCAGCATAAGTTACTTCTTGCCACTTTTGTTCACGCCTAAGGAAAAGCATTAACTGTAATAAAGTCTCATAGTCTAAAGTACCATTTGCTGGCCATTTCAACCCCCCATCAAGTCTATAGAGTGGCCACCACTGTGTAGAAAATTTAACAAGTTCCCTTTTAGTTTCACTACCACCATAGCCCACCAGCGCTTTCCAGTGTGTTAAGATACACCCTAAAGGGGTTCCCCTGGGAATCTCTTTGCTCTCATTTGCCCCCATGTTCAGGGTTTTTTCTTTTCAAAACGTCTTTTGATCTTATCCCAGTTCTTAAGCTTTACCTGGTATTCTTCTGGTACAAAAATATGCTGGCCACACTCAACTCGAAGTATTTCCACTGGTTTCTTTAAAGTTCCTGAAACTCCGTTTTCTAACAATTCAAATATTTTACTGCTACCAGGAACCTCTTGACCAGTCACCAACAAAACTTGTATAACTTTTTGGGTAGCCTCTTGTTCTTTTGAACGACAAAAAGCACAAATTCCAGTCTTAGGTATTAGCCACCTGTACCCTTTTCGGACCCACAAATCCTGACAGACTACACACCAAAATACAATCCACGGATTACAATAACAATCTTTATTTGGGCAGGGGAATACTCCTGAACCAGGCTTTCGGTTCCTGTTTCTCCCGGTCCTGGTCATATAGCTATGCTAGCAAACAAAAGGGATAAAACAATTTGTTAGTTAATTTTCACCTTTTCTCCCTTCAAAACAAGGTTCAGAGCAGCAGCTGTTAAGGAAAAACTTGTTATACAAAAGAAAAAGGGAAAAAGAAAAAAACAAAACAAAAAAACAACAACAACAAAAAAAACTTAAATTGCAAGTTATTAATCACACCTTAAATCAAATCCTCTGTTATGTTTTGCTCTGGGTATATTACTGTTAAAATTCGTTTAAAACCTGTAAGCAACCTTTCATACACTGTAGCAAGTTTGCAGCTAAAAGCCAAGCGTATCTCCTGTCGCACTGTAAACAAAGGACAAATGGAAATCTTATAAACTGTCAGTCCAGTTTTGACCGAAATTTCGTGACTCCACACTGCACTGAGAGCTGTGTGAACCACTGCTATAGCCTGTTCTAAAAATTTTTGGATTTCTGATCAAATTTCTCTCACCCTTTGATTGAAAATGTTACAAAATGCAAAGTTCGGCTGTGTATTCGCAGCTGCAAAACCGGGTTTCTCTTTTTCCAGGAGGACCTAAATTCTAATAGTTTAGGCTCACAAAAAAAAACCCTGGGGTTTTTCACAACCCCGAACACATTCAACAAATGTTCTAACAAGGTCTTGCTAAAATCACACAAACTTCAGTCAAAACACAACACAAATCTTTCAACAAGGAGTGGAGGGGAGGGAGAAATAAACTACTAGCAAACACTCACCCGCTAAACCTGGGGTTTTCCAGGCAGTTGAAAAATGTATCCTGAGGTCACAGAGCCTGAATTCTCCTCTAGTTATCTGGGAGACAAATGACCTCTTAATCACCAGGACTATCTTAAAAGTAGTTTAGGCTTTTCACTTCACCCACTAGCTATAAAACAAAAATTCAACTTACAAAGCTTTTCATCCAACAACATATCAAATAAAATTTTCACAGCCAAAAGCACACGCTGCCCAAATTCACACAAATACACACAATCTAAGCACCATGCAAATACTTTAAATCAGTCTGCACTCCCAAAGGTCAGTATTTCTTTGCAAAGCAAATAACAATTTCACAAACTTCTTACAACTTCAAGTTCACAAAGCTCCTAAAAACACTTACAAAAATTAATAACACACGCCAAATCACACAAATTATAATGCTCACAGCACTAACTCTTACAGACCACAACAAATACAATGCTCAAATAGTTTTCCACAGCCTAAACACACAAAATCACAAACTCACTAAACAAAGACGGATCCGGTTACAATACACACATACAGCGCTTGGGGCCACAACTCAAATTGTCACAGCAGGACGCTTCGCGTCCCAAAATTCAGACTAACCACCCAAATTATGGATTACTAAGGTGCACCTTTCAAATTACAAACTGAGATCAGAGCCACCCCTGCTCCAATCCAAATCCACAACACCACAGCCGCTGTCTCCTCTACGAGACACAGACTGCTAAACTTCTGGTACTGCTGCCTCCTCTACGAGACACAGACTAAAAAACTTCTGGTGCTGCTGCCTCCTCTACGAGGCACAGACTACCAACCTCGGATACGAGACGTCTCTCGTGTCTTTTTAACTGCCTTTATAATAAGGTACCTTCCCCCAAATAGAAACATACCTCTTGTCCGTAGTCCAGCAGGTTCTGGTCTTACCCCGGGTAGTCAGCGAGATCGCAGGATCCCTCTTCCCAGAAATTTCTGGGTGGGCGCCCAGAGGGGTCCTGGACCCCACCGGCCCCACGGCCAGAGAGAGCAGTCCTCCTGGCTGGCTCGCCAAAATGATTTATTAAAAAAAATATGGATATTGATCTAGTGTCGATATCCAACTGTGACGGACAAAAACTCTCTAACAGTTTAAAGTTAGAAAGTGTATGTTTATTCGACGCCGGGCAGCGTGCGGGATAGCTCCCAAATACACACCGCACCTTCCAGGTGATTACAGAGTCTTTTTATCCATACAAGTATTGAATACACAAAATACAAATACATATTCATAATTTTGGTACATCCCATTCCCCGCTTCGTATGCTAATCACTCCAAAAGCTATTAAGCATGCGTAGTTTGTCCCTTGAAATGGGTGGGTGGTCCCTTTCATGGGGAGGGGTCCCAAAATGAGGAAGTAAATGAAGTCTTCCTCGTTCTGACCTTTCTACCTTTTCAATGCAAGTATGACAAATGAACTCTTGGTAGAACTCCCATTCCTTGTCTTCAATTGGTTTCAGAACAGAGGAGGCCCACAATTGTCTTATGTTCCTAAAAGCTATTTATCAGTTTCTATATTCTTCATTATAAACCCAGCTAACTAAACATTGTGCTGACAAGCAATTAATTATTAGTTAACTACTAACTCCTAACTTCATCAAGGCCTACTCATTTATTATTCTTATTTTAGTTAACTCTAGTAAGACTTATTTCTCTTAGCTCCTCAAAATCTCTAAATGCCTTAAAGTTTACGTTTCAAGATGAGCAAGTGCTGCAGTTGTGCCTGGAAGGCACCTGCAACAGAGAGGCCTCGGGAAGGCTACAGGGCAGTAAGTCTTGCAGTCTGTCTTCGAGGGCACAGCAAGAGAGAAGTCTCAGAAAAGAAACAGGACAGCAAGTCCCGCAGTCCGTCCTCGAAGGCACTGGCGGCAGGGATGGCAGATGCTTTGGAAATGCTCCGGGCCACCGAATCCTGCAGTCCGGCCTCAACGTCAACTGCACAGGGAATGCCTTGGAAAAGCTCCGGGTCAGCAAGGAAGGGGTTGGCTGTGTGGGGGCTCCTCACAGCACCGCTCTGTCCCGTCCTGTCCTGTTGTGTGCACCGAGCACTGTGGCATGGCCGTGTTGCCGCCAGCACATATGTCAGGATGTGTCACAAAGGGTCACCCTTGTACACTCTGGCCCTTTCCATCCCACAGTGACCACAGTGTCACAAAGAGCCCAAGGACACACATCCACGTGCCCTGGGGACACACCCACTCCACCCAAACTGCTCCAGCTTGCAAGGAAGACCTTCCCCCAAGTGGTGAAGACACCACCCAAGGGGTGAAGTTCCAAGAGGAACTTTAGGAACGGCCCAAACAACAAGCAGCTGCTCCTCTGCTCTGCCTGCTCAGGGCTGCAGAAGGAGCCCTCACAGCTGCCAACAGAGCCGAAGCAGGAAGGACACCTGGAGCTTCTACAGAAGCTGCCATGGCCTCTTTGGGACCAGTTCCAGTGCTGGAAGGCCCTCATACATGCAGGTCTGTGACGCAGACACGGGACATGTGGGCCAGAGCACGAATGCTGCTCTGACTCCTGGCGAGCACTGACATCAGCAGGTGTGGCAGAGTCCCTGCCAAAGGAGACCAGCCACCCCAAGCTCTGCCAGTGCTGGTGCCTGTCAGCTGCCACAGAGACCTGTGGCCCCGGGGGACTTGTGTGCCAGAGGACAGCCGAAGCCAACGTGCCTTGGTGTCTATGGGATCCTTTCTGCAGGTGGCTGCAGGCAGGAGCACCTGGAGCAGCACTTGGTAGCCACACTTGGTAGCTGTCAAAAGCTGTTGCTCCTTCCTAGAATGATTTTTGCTTGGAAGTGATAATCTGCAGCACAAAAACACCATCCACTGTTGACTTCCAGAGGACAATGACATTCTTACAGAGATACTGTCAAGTTCCCTTGTGTCCTTCTGTTTTTCTTGCTTTCTGGGAAAGAACATCAGCCCAGCATCTGATGCCCATTGCTCCGGTTGCTGCCTGGCTGGCTGTGGCCAGCAGCTCATGTCCAAAGACAAGCGGGTGCTGCCTTCTGGGCAAGGGAATGGACAGGCACGAGCAGAGAATTTCCCTGGTGAAGCTGGGAGGAACCTGGGGAAGTGCAGAAGACTGGGATAACGCTGGCATGAGAGAAGCCGTTCTGTGTCCCTGATGACGGGGCCAGCAGTGTGAAGGAAGAGCCAAGAGAAGCACTGGAAGCAGACACATCCTGCCGCTTTCTGCTGTTCCACGGACACGGAACACACTTGTTCCCACAGCTCCAGAAGACTTGAAGCAGGAAGAAAAACATTCAGCAGGACCACCAAAGGCCAAGGGGCTTCTGGCCACTTTCCCTTGCCCACCGCATACTTGGGCAACTTGCCGAGTGCAAGCGCCCTTTTTCCACTCCTCCCCATTGGCCTGAAGAATGTGGGCACCAAGAGAAAGCTCCTGGACCTCCGGGTATGACAACAGCAATTTATTAATGCTACCCTGGGGTGAAAGGAAGTGCTTTCAGAAGGGGTTGGTCCCCGCAGGCTCAGGTGGCCCCAGCAGACGCAGCCTGGCGGATCAGTTCTCCACAGCGCTGCAGCAGGACAGCCAGCCCCGGCGACACGGGAAAGGCCGTGACTTCCAGAGCCGGCGGAGTTGATCTTGCACATTCTGGAGTCGGGAGGAGGGAATGGCCTGCACAGCTAAATTGATGTAATGAGTTTGAAGGGCCAGGCATGAGATGGCGGGGCTGGCGTCATACGCCATGTCCTGAAGGGCTGCGAGAGAGAGGAACAGAGCCACCGTCAGAGCCTGCGTCTGCAGAAACATGGGGACACCCTCCTGCCACGTCCATGCCAGGCAGCTCTTGCCATGGCCTGGAGGAAGCAGGAGACAAGAAGGGCGAGCTGGAAGGTGCTGGCCACGAATCTGCCACAGGCCCCCGAAAGGTCTGTGTGCTCAGCCCACGCTGCCCTTGGTGCACGCCGGGCCAGGGAAGGCAGCTGCCAGCGGCAGCCCCCGCTGAGAGCCCGCTGGCCTCACTCACCCCTGCAGAGGATCCGGAACTCTTGCTGCTGTCCTCTCAGGCAGCGCCCGGCGATCCCTTGGGAACAGAGAGCGTGAGCTGGCTGGAGAGCCACAGCTGCCGCACACGGGCGCTGCCAGCCCTGAGGCCACACGGCCTCCTGGCCCGGCAGGGCTCAGCCCGGGCCCCTGCCGCATCCTGCCGCCCAAGGGCACGGCTGCCAGAGGGCGGTGGCAGCGCCGAGGCCAGGCGGGGCTCCAGATGGCCGCGCTGGGATGCTGCTGCCGGGGCAGCAGGCGGGGCTGGGGCCGAGCTGCGGCGGGGCGGGGAAGGAGCCGGGCTGCTGGCTCACCCATGAACCTGACGGCCGCCTCTCGCAGGGGCTCCTGTGGGCTCTGCAGGTAGGGCAGGGCCCGGCGCAGGTGCTCGGCCGCTCGGCTCCTGTCCTCTGCCAGCTGGAGAGAGCAGCAGGCACAAAGGGAAGGGTTGGTGTGGGCCCTGCCCCTCGGCCGGGCGCTCCCTAGGCCGGGCGCCGCTCCCCCTGCCCACACAGCCCCGAGGCCCGGCCAGCAGCCGCAGGCGCCGGGCTCCGCAGGGAGCAGAGGGCCCGGCGAGCCGCGGTGCCGCCCCGCGGCAGAGCCCGGCTGCCTCGGGGCTCCCTCAGCGCCGGGCTTGGGGCCAGAGGAGCCTGGAGCAGAGCCCGGGTGGCCCCGGGAAGGCAGCGGCGTGTGGGGCGCCGGCCAGTGCCCCTGCGTGCAGCACTGGGCAGGGGCTGCAGCTGCCAGCCCCACAGACTGGGCACCGTGGGCAGGCGGCTTCTCCAGGCTGGGGCTGGGGCTTCTGGGCTGTCCTTACCAAGCGCTCGGCAAAGCTCCACATCTGATCTCTGTTCACCAGGTGCTGAAGATCCCTTCTCTTCAGGAACCTTACTGCAGAAAGCAGCGTTTCCCGAGAGGCCTGCAGAGCGGCAGAGAGCCGGAGATGGCACCGCAGCCCAGGGCACAGGAGCCGCGTCCCTGTGCCAAGGCCAGGAGGGAGCTGGAGCCCATGAGGAGGAGCCAGGCTGTGGGGAGACAGCTGAGCCCCCTGCCATGGGGACCCCGGCGCCCAGGAGCCCTCACCTGTGCCACACCCCAGTTCTCATCGTGGCAGTTGAAGAAGAGTGGGAGCAGGCTCTGCCTCACATGCTTCTTCAGGGGCTTTTTTCCCTTGGCCACCACCAAGTTCATCACCTCTTGGAAGAGGCGAACGGAGAGCAGCTTCACAAGGCTGTTGTCCTGTTGGAAAGGAAGCAAAACCCCTCCACATCAGCTGCTTCAGGCCCCCCTGTGCACAGGCCCAAGGCACCGGGCTTCCAGGCGGCGCCCGGTGCCCATGGCTGGGGGCACAGAGCTTTACATTGTCGAAGAGTTGCCAGAGCGCCTCAGCCAGCTGCAGGGCGATGGGGCTGGCTATTGCTATCTCTTTGTTGAAGAGCAGAGAGCTGAGAACAACGACGGTCATCTCAACAATGTCTTCATCCACGGCCCGCAGGAGGTTGCCAAGGCTTTCAGTCAGGCTGTACATTCTTTGGTTCTGTGTGGAAAACAAGGCTGGGCAACCCGACGCTGCTGCTGCTGCTGCAGGGCTCAGAGGCCGAAGGCCTGTCCCAGAGCACTCAGGCAGCTGAACAGTGACCCTGGAGAGCTGGGAGCAGCTGCCACAGCTCCCAAAGCCCAGCCAAGCCCAAGGGGCTGCTTTCCCCAGCCCCACGCTGCCAGCACAGCTTCAGCTGCTGCCTCCTTCTCACCATCGAGGGGTCCTGGCTGAGCACCACGAGGCCTCTGAGCGCCACGCGACGCATCTCTCTGGACCGTCTCTTCAGGTGCCTTGTCATGATCTGCAGGACCTTTTCACCGCATTCACTCAAGTCCAGGCAGTCCAGGACCTGAAAGGCACAGAGCAGTGACAGGAGTGCCCAGCTGGCAGGAGCTCAGAACCGCACAGGGCTGAGCCAAGGCAGCAGCACAGGGCACCATCCCAGGCAGCTGCGGCTAC